AAATTTCTCAGTGAATGGTCAAACCAGATGATGAGAACCCGGTGCAAGTGCACATAGCTGCCGATGAGCTTTTTCGTGAGTGCCTCTTTCTTAAGTATAAGCAGGCAATCAAGGGTCACCAGACACACAATTCAGTGATTGAATGAGTAAACAGAAGGAAAGTAAACTGGAGGGAAAAGACGATGCAGAGAGTTTAATATATATTTTCTAAAATTATATACAAATAATTTATTTTCATACATATATATTTTATATATCTAATATGTATATAATTAATATCCTCACAGATATGAAACATCCATGAAGCAAAAACAATACTATTTTTTAAAAAGAGTAACACAGAACAAGAATAAGCTTTTAGAAATTTGGACTTTAAAATATGGTAGTAGCATCAATGTTGCCTTAAAAACATCAATAGAAGATTTAGAGAATAAAATTGAGTAAATAGTCCACATAGCAGAGCAAAAGAACAGAAATGAAAAATGTGAGAAGAGATAAGAAAACTCAGATGATCAGTCCAAGAGTCACTTCAATGCCTGACTAATAGAAGCTATAGAGAAAGAGAATACAGGAGAAAGAGGGCTTGCAATTATCAACAAACAGATCATTAAAATTCCCCAAATCAAAAGACATATGTGTCCAGTTTGAAAGAGCCAATCCAATACTCAGGACAATACATGAAAATAGAACCGTACCAATGCACATCATGAAATCTTAGAACACCACTAAGAAAAGGTCCTATTGGCATGGAAAAGGGGGTAAAAAAAAAGTCACATATGAAGGGTCAGGTATCGGAATGGCTTTAGGTTTCACAACAACAATCCTGTAAGTTAGAAGTCAAAGGAGCAATGCTTTTAACACTCTGAAAGGAAATGATTTCCAGTCTAGAATTATATGCTAATATAATGTGCCAATTAAGTGTAAAGACATGATAAAAACATTTCCAACTGTAAGCTCTCAAAGTATGTATCCCACATGCACTCATTCTCAGGATGCTTCTAAAGGAAGTGCTCTACTAAAAGAGCTAGTAAACTAAGTAGCCAAGAAACAGGGGCACCGACTCAGAAGAGGTGAAGGCAGCCTCCAGGATGACGGTGAGAGGATAGCCCAGAACGATAGCAGTACACCAATTGCAGAGAATAACCAGTCCACAATGGGGGAGGTCCCTGAGGAGACTCCAGGAAAGAAGTCTCCAAAAGGATGGAACTAAAAACAGTTGAATATCTCAAGTAACTGAATACTTTGAAAGCATATTTAGATAATGCTGGAAGAGACTTTGGGGGTTGACTGGTAACTAGTACGTAGAGAACTAAGAAAACAAAACAAAACAAAAATATGACACAATTATTAAATCCAGAGAAAACAGAAAGTTGGGCAGGAAAACAAAAGTAATCAAAATATATTACATAATCATGACGATGTGAATACTGAATATTGATCTAATCAGACTTCTGATGCAGTGATTTTGGGAAGATGGGGGAATGGAAAGCATTCATGTGTATGGTGGTAGTGGGTTGAAGGGGTCAGAAAAATCTGTGAAAGGGACCTAAATTCTTCCATAGTTGCAAACCAGTAGCACCTAAACATAAATATAGAGAAGTAGCCCTAAATGCCTGGTATTTGGTTATATGGAGGTTAATACAAAAGAAACAGCTGTGAGTTGGATGCTGTTACCTCTGGGGACCAAGAAAAAAGAAAGCAGAGGAAGGGGCCAGGAGGAGATTGCTACTTTTTTCCAGAAAAGTCTTGTAGGACCATTTGATCCCTTAAACCACATGAATATACGTAACTTTGAAAAAATAAAAACCAAATTTGAAAATAATTTCTTTTCTACCGTAGTGTCAGATACTCATGATCAAAGGACAATTCTCATGCTCCTGGCCAACGACAGACTTCTTATTGAATTATACTGCTTAACAAGTACCCAGTATCTTATTTCTTTGGCCTACCTGTTCTTTGCATAGAGATATATGGAAATAGATGTGTGGGCAAGATGGATTCACTGAATTCAGAGTGCAATAACACGCTTCTGAATAACTAAAGATCTGCTCTTTATAATGCCGTCTAATCTACTGAAAGGCATTTTATGTTCTTGTCCTTCACCTTCATTCAAAATACTCCTTCACATCTCCAGACAAGAATTCAGCTAGAACCTTATGCATAATGTAAGAGCTTTGTTCTTCAGGATTCTAAGGTAGTGTAATGGTCAGTGTTAACAGTAAATATACACTTCTTTTCTCCCTATTCTAATATGTACCATAATTTTCCCCCCAAAGTTTGGGTGAGTTGTAAGGTCTTGTTCCTACCTTTTTGTTTTCAATATATTTTATTGGCACTCAGTCTCTGACAAACCTGTTTCATGTAGGAAAGTAACTGGAGGATTTTCAGTCATCTCAAAGGAGAAGGTTTAAGAGTGTCTACTGAGCCAAAAGCAGATCTGGAAGAGGAGGAAGAGACTGAGAATGGAGTCCCAGTGGGCATGGGGGCAGGAAGCTCTAGGGGTCCCACATTTCTGCTACATGGCTTCTCCCACCGAGAGTCTGGCAGACTGCTTCATCCTGCTTGGTAGTTTAGGGTGATTAAGGTGAAAACTGAGTTCTCCACACTGGATAGAACCAGGCTACTCCAACCAGGGCCACAAAGGTTGTGGAAACACTCTTGGCAGGAAAGATGGTGGCAACAACCCTCCTGCAGAGGAGCGGACACTGCCAAATGGGTCGCCTCTAATTGCTACCAGGACTAGAATTATCCACTTGGACTGCAGCCCTGGCATGCCCTGCATTTTCCTCTCTCTTTCTTCCTGGATTTTTCCATGTGTCTCTGCCACGTCCTCTTTTCTCATTTCTTCTCACGTTCCAAAACTGTCCTCTTCACCTCTTTCACTCGTGTCTGGCTCTCTGACTGGTCAAAGCATGGATTTTGGAGCTCTGAAGTTAGATAATCCTAGAGCTGTGCTTTAAAAAAAATTACTGCAAGGCTTAGCTTTCTCGTCTCTCTCGATATATATTTTAAAAGGGTTGTTATGAGGATAGAAGAAATGTGTGCATGTAAGAGCACCTGGTACAGCTTCTTCAAACCTTTTTGGAACAAGGCAGAATATCTTTCTCTCTATCGATCCATCCTCCATATATACACAGATATATATATCCATGTATATCCATTTACATATACAAGCCTAAACACATGGCAATATGTCAGAGCACAGGTTGCACAGAAGACACTCAATAAAAGTTAGCTTCCCTCCCTCCTCTCCTCCAGTCCTATGTCATTGCCATCACCTAGCTACCCTGTTAGCTCCGGGGAAACTTCTTAATTTTTCTTCAAAGGTCTTTCTTTTTCCTTTCACTCATTACCTTATTCTTACCCCTGGTTCTCTTCTCACTTTTCCTTGTTTTACTCCTATCTTTCTTTTTCTTATTTAATATCAGGAAGTTTCTGAATTCAGGCCCATGGCCCATTGATAGTTTTAGAGATCCTTGCCCCTCAAAGTGTGGTCCAGACAGACTAGCAGCATTGACCAGGGACTTGTTAGAAATGCAGACTCGCAGGCCTCACCCCAGACCTACTGCAGCAGAATCTGCATTTTACAAGATCCCCAGGTGGTCTGTATACGTGTTTGAGGACCGGTCCTCTAGAGCACCTCCAGGTGTCTGCCCACTGAGACCAAATCTGGGAAGATGGCAGTGGAGACCCTTGGAGTTAATGACTAAATCTCCAGACGTTCTGAGTAACCTGACAGTTAATGAGAAAAGAATTACAACTCAAACCACACACTATGATTATTGTGATTCAATGTCAGGTGAAGTCCAGGGCTACTCTGAAGACCTAAAAAGAAATGCCTGTAGTTAGGATATTGAAATATCGATACTGATATTGAAATCAGTCATTCAGATAGTCTGCTTAAAACAGTGATTTCCTCTCCGATGCAAGGAGTCTTCTGTTTTAATAATATGTCTGAAATCTGAGTAATGGAAATTTTTTTAGAAAATATCTTTGCTTGGGATTATTAAATGTCAGTTAAAATGTTTATTTCTGCAAAGCGAAAATTTAGCCTGAAAGCATAAACTACATCAAAAGCATTTGTTCAAAGATTTTTCAACAGGAATTTAAAACATCTAAAGTCTCAACTATAAAAAATGACATCTTCTGTAGAAAAAAAGATCAATCATAGCAGGAGACCCAGGAAGAGGGGATGTAGAGGGTCTGAATCACAATTTGATTTTTTTAAAAAAAAGCCCTCAAATCTATGTTAAAATATTTTAAGATAGTTTTAAGAAATGACAAATTGTTGCCCCAGAAGAAAAGTGAATCTGTGCCAATTCATGAAGGAACTATAGGCATAAGACATTCTGTACTCATTTCTAGCCATCTATGGAGGAATTCTGTAAAAATGCAAAAGGAATGAACTAAACAACAAATTAACCACCAAAATATTAAAAAATATGTCTTTACAGAAGGAGGTGGTAGGGCCACAGAGTCGTTACTAACTATGATGGGACACTCTTGTTTTTACTTTACCAGATGTTTTGTACAGACTGACTTGAAGGTAAAATAACCAGGACCCCAGAGGGAAACTTCCTATTTACATTCACATACAATTTCCTATTTACATAGGAAATTGCCAGGCTGAACTCACAAAGCACCAGCTCAACTTGAGACACAAGATAAATGGACCCTGCTGGAACAATTCCAGCCTTGTCGTCCCTGCTGAAGTTATAACCAATTGTGTACTATGAACACAAGTGTGTTGTAATACATACATTATAGGAAGTAAAAGGAGAAAACACTTTTCAACTCAATTCTGCATTTTTTGAACTGCTGTAAATTTTTGTTGGAAATGGAATTATAAACTGCCTGCTCTAAGAAATCTAGAATTTCTTGGTTTTGATTCAATGTAAGCACACACTTGAGAAAAAAAAGAATCAATATTAGAATAAAACGAAGGAAGCTATCCCTTTTCTCATAAATACCATGCTGATAAAGAAATTACTCATTTTCAGAATGGGACATTGGAGGAGAAGATGAGAAAAGTATCTCGCAACCCACTGAATACAGCCGTTACCACTGGGAACTTTGTCTAATCCATCCGATTTTCTGAACTCATCTGCTTCTTATGCTGCTAGTCTTCAAGAGATCCATTCATTGTAAGTTCCAAAGACTTTAGACTCTTTTCTCAACTGGTTTGTATATTGGTCTCCATCTAGACACAGATCAATTTCGAAAAACCAAGACCTAAAAATAATTAAAGTGTCTGATGTGAGCTAGAACTAGAGGTTGTGTCACACACAGACCTTGCTACCCTTCTGGAGGTCGGACCAAGCCCCTGAAAACTATGTGTTTAATGCGTTCTCACCCCAACCTCAACACCAAACCATGCCGCTTAGTTTATAATCCGGCCATATGTGGTGGTGGGCTATGATTTCGTTTGCATTTTAGAATCTGGAGATTCGTGGCAGTTCAATTGAAGAAAAATTCTTCTCTCATTTCTTAAAGTCATGTACTTCACTGATGTCATTATAAATAGGGAACTTCACAGATTTTAAAGAACAGAAAACTTTCATTAAGTCATTTGATACAGAACATCTGGCAAAATCACTCTGCAGATCAAAATACAGTGATGAAGGAAGAAACTGGCTTTATATTTTTGAGAGTGTTCTGTAATGTATCCCAAAAGACATGGTCGTCATGTGCAGTGTGCTTTATATTTGGGGATGTTCAGTGAGTTGAACGGTTTCATGAAGACCTTCTTGTTTTCCAAGAGACCTTTTTCAACAGCCAACACAGCATACTCCATTAAATTTTACTATTGTTTTCAGTGTCAAAACATGACTCTTTGAATTATTTCTTTTTCTTTCTTCTTAAAACAGTACCATATGACATGCTTATGCGTGTCATGACTACTCTTTAACCTTTTGCCTTTTGAAATGTTTAACTTTATATGACCTAAAAGTTAGACCTCGCTGATCTCCCATGATGCTTCTTTTATGCACATGTGTAATGTGAAAATGTATATTTGTATCATACTTCATCTATTATAAAACGTGTCTAAATATATTAATCTTTGGTGACTAAGTAAATGACTACCACGAGCCAGAATGCAGGGTTTTATAAACCTAAACTTTGGCAAAAACGAGACTGGATTCAAATTCCGTCTCTTCAATTCACTCACTTTGTGAGCTAGGGCAGATCACTTGATCCCTCTGAGGCCACGTTTACTCATCTGTAAAATGGGAATAGTAAGACATACTTCACAAAGTTGTAAGGATTTAGCGAGGTAACGTAGATAAAATGCTAAGCACAATACCTGGCATATGAGAAATGCTCGGTAAACCGCGGCTCTTACTACATGATACGATCCTCAAGAGGTTAAGTTATTAAACCCTTGGATCATGAGACAACGAAGCCTCCAGAATTACAAGATGTGTGCAAGGACACGCAGCTCGTACTTAGAGATCTGGGACTAAAACACATGAGAGCTGACTCCGAATCTCATGTGTTTTCCTCTAAGAAAGGCTCCCTCTTGACTTAGTTAAATGCCTGTTTTACAGCTTCTTTCCTTATGAAGCTGTGATGTACCTGAGCTGTGATAGCCCTTCTGCCTTTGTGGTCTGTACGAGCCTAGTTGAGATGTCATCCCAGACTGTGTGAATGTTCCTGCACTTTTGTTTTGCCATCCGTAAACATGCAAGATGCTTCACTTATTCTTACCATTTTCTGTTCGTATTTTGACTTTCAAAAGGTTTGTTTGAGAATGTTGGCAGGCAAATGGCATGGTGAGCCTAGCAGTTTAAAACCTCTATGTCAATATTTATTTTCAGCCACTGGCAAAAATGACTCAGAAGAATGTATTACTTTTGACAAAGCATACCCATTTCTCCAAAATTTGAAGGTGTTATTTTATCTATAAGTATTATAGACCTTTATAGTTTATGGAACATAAACTATTGTATGCTTTTGTGATAAGGTTACCTGTAATCTTTAATTACTTGAATATGTTTGTCAGCAGCAAGTGTGGGCCCTCTGGATTGATAATGCCAGAAAGAGCTGTTTGCTCTTTCTCGACACCATTCCTTCGTTTATGCCCATGGGGTAGTAAAGATGCAGAACGTGTCTTGTGATGTGCCTGGTCCACTCGGTACCATTTGGAAATACATATTTCATTTGACAGCATTTATAAATCACATATTCTCCCCTCAGAATAACTTGCAGTGTGAAAATGCTTCCATATGTTAGAAGTGGGTCTCTCCATTTTGCTGAGGGAGGAGGGGATGGAAATATAGCCTAGGCTTCATGGCGTGTTGAAGATAAGTATTGTACAGGTTTAAAATGGTATCTGTTAATTTTAAGTAATTCCCTAGCGTTTTCTGCACTGCTAAAATTAAAAAGGTGATCTTGACACAAAATATCATATTAGTAATAATTAAATCACTCTTCACAAAGACTATTAGATATGGCTGAAATGCTGCTTCATATATTGAATCCAGATACATTTAAGCTCTTCCTCATCGGTAAAGAAGTGCACTATTTTTAAATTCCCTCATGGATTCCAAGGCCGGATAGAGAAGCTTGATTGCAACTTCTTGCAATTCCCAAACTCTCTTCCTTAAACTCACTCCTCTTTGGCCTGAGCCTTTGAGCAGGCAGGAGAAAAGGCTCCTTGTTTTCCCGTTTCACAGGAGTAAATGCATGTTATTCCACTGAGAACAAGACCTCGGAGGCCTAGGCAGGAAGAAAGCAGCAGGGCTGCCACCCAAGGCCCTCACAAGCCCGGAAGGCCTGGACCCCGTTCTCCTCTCGGGAACTCACGGAAGCCCCCGGAGATCAACATTCACCCTCACCTTACGTGTGTGAGGACTGAAATGCCCTGCTTGCCCTCGGGGCACAGAAATGGGGGCGGGGGGGGGGGGGGGGGTGGGGGGCGCGGTACTGTGCCACCTGCTGCAGATGGTTCTGCACACACGTCTCACTGCTCTGCATTAGAACTAGTTTGAGAGAAGTAAAGGCCAGGTAGCAACTTGTAAACCTTACCAGAAACATTTGTTCAACATGCTAAAGAAGATTACAGGATAAAAACTGATCAGTTTTCAAATGTATATGACTTGAAAAAGTCTCAAAAAGAACCCCCAAAACCTGAGAACAATCCTTTATATTTATTCATTTTCTTTCCTTCAAGCTTTTATGATCATTAAACTATTATGACAAGTCAAGATGAAAGGATCAGAGGAGATATTGTAATTATGTGATATCTTTTTCTAAAGCATTTTTTATTGTGTGAAAATATGCATAACATAAATTTTACCATTTTAACCATTTTAAATACAGTTCAGTGTTATTAGGTATTTTCACAATACATAACTCTCAACACCATCCATCTCGAGAAATTTTTCATCATTGCAAACCGATATTCTGTACCTATTAAACACGAACTCCCCATTCCACTCTCCCCCCAGCCCTTGGTAACCACTGTTCTACTTTCCGATTCTATGAATCTGACTAGGTACCTAATGTAAGTGGGGTCAGACAATATTTGTCTTTTTGGGCCTGACTTATTTCACTTAGCGTAATGTCTTCAAGGTCCATCTGTGTTGTTGCATGTGTTAGAATTGTATTCCTTGTAAAGGCTGAGTAATAGTCCATTGTATGTGTATACCACATTTTGGATCTTTTTTTAAAATCAGCTTTCCCTCATTTGTCTCCTCCTCCTTTCTTTGCTTCCCTTTGGCTCCATATTTCTCTCTAACACCCACCTTCCTTGTCTCCCTACACGTTTCCCTCCCTCTACTCCTCCCATTACTCCTTCCTCCCTCCCTGACATACTCATCATTTTCTCTACATGCTTAATATGTATTAATATTACATACCAAGTACTCTTCTTATGGGTATTTTTTTAATGAGGTAAAACTCAAGTTTATCTCATCTTAATTTTTTAACTATGTTATATACTTTTAATAATGATGGTCCTCATATCATAAAATTCTTAGATAGATGTAGATGGACACATAGTCCCAGCTCTCTGCACTAACTACTAACTTTGAGTAGATGACTTAGCTTCTCTGGTTTCAGTTTTCTAATATGTAAATTCAGTTGTACTACGTGATCTTTGAAGCCCCAACATTCAATGATTTATGAATATCAATCACTCGGAGGAAATTTTCGGGAAGAAAAATATTGATTTATTTGGTAAGTGTTAATTGCATGCTATGAGCAAGATAATGAACAATATCTTGAGTTTAAGCCTTAAAATGTGACAAACGTTCACAAAGATAGAAAGAAGTTTGGCACATCTATTATGTTGGGGATTTTTTTAAATATTTATTTATTTATTATTTTATTTATTTATTTTTGGCTGCACCAGGTCTTAGTTGCAGCATGTGGGATCTTTAGTTGCAACATGGGGACTTCTTAGTTCTGGCATGCAGACTCTTAGTTGCGGCATGCGTGCAGGATCTAGTTCCCCAACCAGGGATCAAACCCAGGCCCCCTGCGTTGGGAGCATGGAGTCTTACCCACTGGACCACCAGGGTAGTCCCTATGGTGGGGTTTTTTTTGAAGATTTGTTTTCTCTATCTTTTTGGTTTTTTCTTATCTTTAAATTTGTAGCTAGTTGTTCTCTACAAATCCCTCTAAACCTACTTTGCTTCATCCCACTAACAAAACAATCACTTCTACTAATTAATTTTAGCTTACTCAATTTTCAAAAAGAAAAATGGCAAATAACACCGAAGCTTGAAAATGAAGCTCCTTATGACAAAGTTGGCCTTGTTGAACAAACAGAACCTCATCATCTGTAGCACCGGTATATGTCTTACCCATGCTCAGCTTATAAAAACACACAGGCACACAAATCTTTATCTGCAATTTCACTTCTCTGCAGATAACTAAAGTTTAACACAGCCAACCTTAGACCAAAATAGTCCATTTCCAACATTCAAAAACTTTCTCCTTACTTTACAGTCTCTCTCTAGATGGCAGCATCCCTCTATGTTACAAATTACCTCCTTTCATCAGGACGAGAAAGGATTTGGTGCCAGTTACTTAAGCCAGTCATTATATAGATCTGAAGTATGGTTTTTTCACTTAGGTGCATCGCTACTCTAGAGGCATGATCAAGTTACTGAGTTGTAGTTTCTGGAGGTCTGGTAGTTTCTCTGGATCTGCTAAGGGAAAAGAATTTATGTCCTGTCAGCATTACATTCTTTTAGGACCTGAACCCATTTTGTGGTGATATAGGCCATTTAAAAAATTTCTTCCTTCTCTCTCCTGTGAGATCAGGTCCCATCTCCTCAGTTCCAATTTAACCCCTGTCCTCTTTCTGGCTCAGCTCACACATGCATGTTTTATGCTCTTTTGATGTTACTTTAGTTAGTTTCAAAATATATCTTCAGACCATCATCACTTGTTAGCAGTCCAGATCTTATACCTATGACTTCTGCCTTGCTTGTTTATTGCCATCCACAGGGGGTGAGCTATCTGACATTTGGGTAGCAGGAATGCAGCTTCCTACTGAATACAGGTATTGATTGCATATTAAATCCTGACTTTTGGATATTGTACTAGATTTGCCAACAGGCTTCATTAAAAAGCAACGCAGGTGTGAAATTTACCTTGCCGAAATGTTGTTTAAGATTTCAAGTCAAGTTAATGATTTAATATAATGGTTGAGCCAGCACTTTTCAAATAGAATCCTCAATTTAAATAGAAAGTGAATTATAACAATGACTATTATTTAGCCCTTTTTAATTTGGAGTTTTGGACACTGCTTGCTTATTTTGTCAGAAGTACGAAGGATTTCTCCAAGGCCATAGCAGTCCAGTTCCAAAAACAGTGCATTGCTGTCTTTCACACTTCATGCAGTGTGAGAGATACGGACTGTGCTGTTGTTTAAAAGAAAACTGCTGGCCCAGCAAGCAGGTCACTTTCTCTGGGCTGATGTATTTGCATTGATACAGCTGCATTTTCTCACCTCTTTCTCTTAGGGA